CCCCCCCCCCCCCCCCCCCCCCCCCCCCCCCCCCCCCCCCCCCCCCCCCCCCCCCCCCCCCCCCCCCCCCCCCCCCCCCCCCCCCCCCCCCCCCCCCCCCCCCCCCCCCCCCCCCCCCCAACCCCCCGTGCGCGCCGTCCCTGTCCCGGAGTGAAGGAGAGGAGAGGGGAGAAATGTGTCATTTCTATATGTTTATACCACTATGCCGCTGTACCACTATATCGAATACCGCTATAGCGGTGTAGCGTTTTGAATTTGCCGCAAATTCAAATTCCTCAAGGGGTCATTTTGTTTTACAGAAGAATAGTTTGTACTCTTTCGGCTTTTAAAATTGATTTTATTTCATTGTTTATAGGATATGTATCTGAGCTTGATGTTAATGAAGCTTTTCATCATGAAGATAAAGATGAAGTTGAAGATGATCGCCTTATTCCTGATGAACCTGGCCTATCACTCATTTATGACTGTGCGACAAAAACAGCCAATGTGTGTATGGAGTGGATTGGGGATTCGATCGAGTGTGTCATGGCTTCGCTGTCAATTGATTTTAGTAAAATCGATTGGGCGAGCTGTTCATGGGAATGGCACAATAATGATATACTCCACAATCGAAAATCTTCAATCCGATAAAAAACAATTGGCTCTATTTAATGGAACACTAAGTAAGATTGAACTTCGATGGATTACATTGAATTATTGGTTTTCCTGTATTTTAGAGTTTGCTAAGGAGACCATTTTTGTTGATGGTATGAGTCTGTATTTTATATTTTTGATTATTTTCTTATAAAATCATTATTTTCTTTTAAGATAACAATCCATTTTTATCATATCCAAATACTCAAATATGAATTCTGCAAATGTCAGGGTGGTGTGTTGAGTATATTCATCTGACTATTAGTCAGATTGCAGAAGGTTCGATTCCCTTTCATCGAATAAATTTAATGTTTATGTTCTTTTATAGATGTGCGAAATTCGAACAAGACGTGTTGGTTTACATCAAGAATATTCCGATGTTTTATTTTAACTTGTTCATTGCAATACTCTTCTGATTATGAATATGCTCGTCTTGAGGTGCAAGCTGCACAATTAAAAGAACCAATTCGTTTACCTGAAGATAATCCACCACCGTATGTTGATTTATTGAATATAAAGATATTTTCAATATAAATCTATTTATATTTAGCCGAGTGTATCTTAGCGTTGCTGATCGTCGTATTCTTGATTGGCATATGGCTAACTTAGAATTTCCTAATGCGGCACCATTAAATTGTTTATCGTTGAAATACTGGGATCAACGTATGTCACACATAGAGGGAATTCAATAGAAAAAATTGATGTGTTTCGTTGTTTAGATGATGAATACAAATGTACTGGTTATCATTTGATGAATAATTGAATTTATAAAATATACTGAAATGTTATTATGTGCTGTTTTTAGTACGTAATGATTATTCTATTTGAATTTTGACTCTTTATGAAAATAAAAATATATATTTAAAACGAGCAGTGAAGAAAATTTCTTATAATAAAACCGGTATGTTTTTTTTTCTATAGGTGTTGAAGTCAATGTGAAAAATGGTGAAGATTCCAAAAATGATATGATTGAAACCTATCGAGCTGAAGTAGTCCTTGTTACTGTGCCATTAGGTGTATTACAAGAAAATATAATTGTATTCGATCCACAACTACTACCTGAAGATAAACAATCAGTCTTTGAAAACTTTGGTTTCGGAAACAAAACCAAAGTAAAATTCATTGGTTTTTATTCTTTATGGATTAAAAAAAATTGATTTATGTTGTTTTAAGTTTTGATAAAATATTTTGGGATCCAAATCCTACATTATTTGCTCATGTGAATGCATCAACATCATCACGAGGAGAACTATTTCTATTTTGGTGTTTTACAAAACTACCTGTACTAATTGTGCTTATTGCTGGTGAAACTGCTAATATTGTTGAATATGCAACTGATGATGTAATCATTGATCGTACACTAATCGTTTTAAGAAATATTTTCGGTTCAGTAACTGTTTCATTAGTAATGTTTAAAATGTAACTTCTCTCATTAAAATGTATCAGTCGAAGCATATGAACAATATTTAATGTTCTATTTTTTTCCTAGAAGATCGTCACGCTTTTGGTACATGAAAATTTTCACATGATTGTGCAATTACTCATTTGAAGGAATAACTTAGAATTGTATTCTTCTTTAGAAAGCAATGGTTGAGAGTATTGTCTAACTATCATTTATTGAAGACTATTCTGCCTAATAAATCAATATTGATCTAAGTCATCTATTTGATTAAGGAACATTCTAGTTGAAATTGAATATTTTTCTACGTATGCCTCGATACATTATTATGATTTATCTGTTCTGAACTATATCATGTTTAAGTCTATTAGGAATTCACCTATCTAAAGATCAAAAGTAAAATACAAAACAGAGCCCTGTTTATTATAATGTTGTATATAGAGACGACGATGAACAATTAGTACAAAGAAATTGCTTCAAAGAGTAAGAATGTAGCAAGAGAAAACGAAAGAAAAATCAAGCAATAGAGTAGGTTACAATGGAATGTTATCTGCATGTCCACATATGAAAAAGAAAACGTTTTTTAATGTTGTTTTCATAAAGTTGTCGATTGCGATGCATAATCAATGTATTTATCGTAAATGGTGAATAACTTGGAAATGTATGTGGATCAAACGGCATTTGATTGAAGTCATATTATTCCTGTTTAAGTGGTTTCGTATCATCAGTTGTTGTTGCTGCTACGGTGGCTGCTGCTGTCGAAGATGAGACTTGTGTATTACGAGAATCGGATGATTCTATTGCTTGTTGTTGATTTATTCAGATTATTATGTTCTAGACGTTTATTGCCTGAACACAGAGAGAGAGAGAGAGAAACGACTGAGGGAACTTTTACTTAACAGATTAAGAAAAAATGAACTTACATTTAAAACGTTTTTGTCGTCGAAGATGACAACCATTTTCAAACATTTGTTGCCTCTTGATGTAAAGCCCAATAAGAACATTTTCTTGGTCTAAAACAAAGAAAATGATTATGAAAAATGTCGATTTATTTGAAATGATATACCTATCAAGGATTTCGTGGCACTTTAACAAAACAATCAATTGATAAACTCCTGCTAGAGTACACATACGATTCCCTGATAATTGTATTGCCATTGTTATTAAATAGAAGATCAAGCTTTTTTGTTTTCCAAGCATATGAGCTGGTTCTCTTGCAAATATATTTTTCTGTTTCATCAAGGCTAAGAAGAATTCCCGAATTAGAACACAAATCAATTTAACTTATCTATCAATAATTTAACAGAGTGACATTATTATACTAAGTATATCACAGAGATTAGGAAGTTAATTACATTTTTGACGATAAGACTCTTTTCTACATAGTTAACAAAGAGCTAAAATTGAACTTCTTCTTATCCATAATTTTATCATCCTCGTGTATGAAAATGTTGCGCAAGAGATGGGCGAATTTGTTTCGTTCTGTATCGGGTGACGCATTGAATGTTACTGTTAAACCGTAACGGTTTACTTAAATGAAATAAAAAGAAGTTCATTTTAAAAGCAATTTTCTGTTTTTCTATTATTATATTCACAAGTAAGTTAAACTTGCATTTACCTGAGTGACAGAGAAATCAGATGCAAAATCATCTTATTTTTTCAATGATTCAAAATTCGGGTGTCTCTTGCATGAATGTTGTGATGTAATCTGTTAAGATCTCTTTATTGAGCAGAATTATTTGGTATTTACATCTTTTTATGAAAGGGTTTGTTGCTAATTCTCGTTTTATGTGAAACATGCACATAATAAAGGAACTAACCCATTGGAAAAATAGTTCTCAATCAGAGCAAGGAGAATGCAATATAAAAACTTTGATTGTTTGGCTTCAGCATGTAAATCTTTATTCAGAACTTGATCATATTTAAGATTATTTGTTTTATCTGTACTGAGGAATTCTCTATCTAACTAAATAAATTCTCATGGATCCAGCATGGAATAAAAAACCTCGAAAAAATTTCATTCCTATGCAATATGCACACACAGGCATCAGGCAGATTCACATATACGTAGATGCATTACACGTCTGATGAGTTTAATGAGAAGTTTAGATCGCGTCTCGTGAACATCAAGATAATATCTGACCGAGCTTCCAGGGTGAATATATTTGAAGTCTTCTTTTTCGTAGGAGTATCTATCCAACACCAGAAAACTAATGGAATTATCTATATATCAAAGCTTAATCAAAAGAAAGTTGTAGAGAATGAAATCGATTATTCGAATAGGTGGGATTGTGTATTTCACAAGTAATAGTAAATAACGAAAATATGTATGTTCTAGTTTTTTTGCTGTTGATATGAATGTCTCTGACTGTAAACTAGCGTCTAATATTAAAGAGTCATCTTTCAGACTGGTACCATATTGATTCTACAATACTATTTCTATTGAGATTAGTATTCATCAATATCTTAAGATAGAACAGTAGAAACGTGAGGGAAAATCAAAAAACACGAAGTCTATTTACTTTATTATTTTGTGAGACATTCGCAAGCCGCTGGGCTCCATAGACAAATCAAAAGAAAATGATGAGTAAATGCAAATCACCCTACTGTTTCGAAACATATCAGTAACGAATTGGAGTGAAAGGGAGTGCTAGAATAAGTTCTCCCCTTGCTATTTTAACTTATTTCAACTGAATCTTTTTCGAAAAGATCCTCCATCTGATTCTCAACAAACGAATCCAATAGAACAAAATACAATAACTTCATTCTAGCAATATACTTATTAGAGTAATATTGCCAGTGTGGTATATTGATGTCCTGTTTCGATGAATTTTCATGACAAAATCTTATTGTATACAAGGAGAGTTATCTAACTAAAGAAAAAAATTTTCTTATTTAAGAAAAAATTTTACATGAGAAGAAAGTTTCATTTTGAAAATTCTTAAATATACAAATAAAATAGATCTTCACCAAGTTGAAACATCAATCACGCATTAATACTCCAATCAAATTTTAATCTTTTCTTTTATGAAATTCGTGTTCATTTTTCTAGAAAATCAAATGCTGAATATTTTGAAAAGAAATTCAATTCAAAATCCTCTACGAGTAATCAGTCTACCAGAAAAAGCAAGTTTCGTCATTGACTAGAAAAATACCTACATATCTGTACTATATCGATTTGTGCTAGTTCATCGTTTTCATTATTTGAAAGTTTTTGTTCTCTCAATCATCACTAACTCTCTCTGTGCTGTTTACTATAAAGGCCTTATGTCTGCTTAACCAAATACCAGTATCGATTTTTTATCGTTGCTTTACTGATAAAAAAAACTTTTGACTCTGTAATACAAGTCATTACTTTTTGTCGAAATCAATTTGTATCGCTATTTCATTTTATTCTCAATTCTTTAGAAAATCCGACTCGTGCTTCGCATCGCATTTTGTATTCGGGTGAACTCGAATACCATCCAGTATGAATTTGTTTTCATAGTAGCATCTCCATCGGACTATTGCTTCAAGACAAATAAACCCAATGAGAAAACGCATAAATCTTACTACCATTAATCTCTTTAATAATACTTGACTCTTTTCATTCGATAATTGATATTTTGTTTCGTCCAGATTTCGACATATTTTCATTTCAATAAAATCATTAGAACAAACCAACCGCGATTAGTTGCAACGTTTTCATTACCTTAACCCATATACTGAATAAAAATGAATAGTTACAAGTATTGTAGTTAAACATGTTTGATTGAATCTAATCTTCATACTATATTCAGTTCGTATCAACTAACACTAGTCAATAAAATAAGTACGAGTAATCGAACCTACCACCCATGAAACTTTATAAAACAAAAGATAATGTAATAAATAAAAAAAATAGCTGTGATACAATTTTAAACATAACTTTTTCCGATTCACATTATTCACGAACAAATACATATATAACATGATTAATTAACGCTATAATATCGATTTCAATCTAGTTAGACGTAGTGGATTATTGCAAATTCACTGTACGAAGTATTCTTTCAAACCGAAATACCGTTATTCTATTGCAGCTAACTACAAGACAAGATGACATTCATAGAGAAGAATTATTTGTGTGAATACACAAGTATTTGCTAATCGAATAGGCAATTTGATATTTAACTACATAAAATTCGTTGTAAAATACTTATAGGTACTACACGATTAGAGAATGATTAATATGAAAAAAATTACTATAGAAAAATAGACGAATCTATAAATTCTTTAAAAATATTTAATGGTTTGCCACTTCATTTTTACAGCTTCACACAACTATAACACAAATAACAATTGATAGCAAAAGAGCAGGCGCATTTCTTTTTGACGAGAACTTTCCACATGAAAAACCAGCATAATCGTCTTGAAATGACTCATTCTGTTATCAAAAGAATAATATTACTTTACTTAAAATATACGATGATGGTACCAAAATGTCTTAATATCGGGAAGCAACTCCTCTAAATGCTAAGTTATACTTTATTTTGTCCTATTCAAAGTGTTACTCTGGCAGGTCAATGTTGCGATCAACCCACACACATTCGTCATCACAACATGTATTTGATCAGTAAAGACCATTTACCTCTTTGCAAGTTGTAATAAGCAACTTTCTTCCATGTGTTCAAAGTCATCACTTATAAAAATGAAGCAAATTAAAATATTGGGTTTCTGTCAAAGCGTTGGCTTAGCGTTAAAACCGAGCATCAGCACTCAAAATTAAGTTGAATAGCTGTTTGTTCGTTTTTTGAGACAATGAAGAGCTTGTATGAACTATTTTGAAAGTAGCAATCAGACTCGACTTTAATTCATATTTTGATCATGTATTATATGATTATGTCTAACCGGATTAGACCTCAAGGATAGTGATCGATACTACTCATGCAATACATTATATATTGATTTGTATCTCAAAATTACAGCTGGTGTTTTTTAAAATATTATTAGCAATATTTTTCAGGTATGAAATTTTCGCTTTTATGACAAAATATCCAATCGTAACCATTTTCTCTTCATACGAAGGGCTCACCATAGCAACAAACATGCATTTTGATTGTATAATTGAAATCAATTAAAGAACAGTAAACGTTTTTTTAGGTAAAGAAATACGATGACTCAAAGCAAAGACAAACAAGGTAGAGTTATTACTATTGAATGTTTTTGATAAATCTAAATACTAGTTTTGTTTTTGTAATAAGGATCACCAACAATTTATGATATTGTACGAGCAAATAATGTTAAAGAACTTGAACTAATTGTTGGTCATGGCGCTAATGTTAATGAAGTTGATGTACGTAATGAAGATAAATTTACACCTTTACATTGGGCAGCTCATTCGGGAAGTTTAGAGGTTAGTATTGCATTATTTTTACAGTCTAAATTAATTATTAATTTCTCGAAAAAACAAAGTGTATGCATTGGCTTCTATGGCAAGCAGCTGATGTAGATGCTACAACACCTAAAGGATGGACACCTATTCATATTGCTTCAATTCGAGGACATGATGCATGTGTACAAGTAAGTTGTTGTTTTGTTTTCTTCATTGTCTAGAAGATTTTCTTACTTAATCAACGATATTCATAGTCTTTACTTAATAATAATGCTAATATAAATACACGTGATCGACGTAATCAAACTTGTCTTCATATGGCTTGTGCACATGGGAATTCGTTTGTTGTTCATACTCTTTTACGTGGAGGAGCAGTAAGATTTTCTCTTGCTTATATTACTTTATCTACTGATAATGAATGATTGATTTCAGGATATTCATCATTTGGATGTGAATGGATGGACGCCAGCTTTTACTGCAGCATATCATGGAAGACTTGGATGTTTGCAGATGCTTGTTAAATGGGGTTCTAAGTTAGATGATGTGGATAATGAAGGAAATACCGTTGGTAAATAGAATCTATCCAATAGATTGTCGTAACATATTTTCCTAGATATGAGAGACTAATTGAGTAATGACAAAATTTGTACTAAGATTTAAAAACGAATTTAATATGTTTAAGATAGTGAGAGTTGTGCATCGTAATTATCCTCAAATAAATGTATTTCTTCAAGGAGACTACAAACTTTAATAAAAATTTATTTTCTTGTCGTTTTTAGCTCATCTAACAGCCATGGAAGGTCATTTGCCATGTTTAAAATTCATTGTCTCAATCAATCGAGATATAACAGCGGTCTTAGGTGCACGTAATGATCACGGTGATACACCTAAGGCTCTCGCTGAACAATTTTTCAAAGAAGATTGTTGTACATATTTGAATGCACTCGAATGGGAACAAGATCATCCCGAACAAGCAGAAAGTAGAAACTTGTTTTTCTTTTAAAAACCGAAAAAAAATATTCACAATTTAGATCTTGCTTTTCCTGCACATGTGGCTGCATACAACGGCGATTTAGAACATGTTAAATTATTAATTGAACAAGGTGTTGTTAATATCAACGAACGCGATGAACGTGGTGCTACATTAGCACATAAAGCAGCTGGGCAAGGACATTTAAAAATTCTTCAATGGTTACTCGAAATGGGTGCCTCCATGGAATTAACAACTCAAAGTGGAGAAACGGCAAAAGATGTAGCACGTCGTTTTAGTCAATTAGCTTGTTTGAAAATCTTAGGTGGTGATGCAGATAAATCTGAAACTAATCCACAACGTTTACTGAACGAATCAGCGAAACAAGGTCATCGAAAAAAATTAACTCCCAAAGAAGAAGAACGCCTACGTGCAAAAGCAAAACTTGAAGAATTAGAAAAACATATTAATATAGCAAAAAAAAATTATCGACAATTAGGCGGAAAATTAGATGAAGAAGAACAAATAGAAAAAATTGAACAAACCGCACAAAAGTATTATTTTAACACATTCCTCGCGGCCAAAGTAAAATCTATTTCCTTTTTTTAGGCGAATCGACGAGCTCGAAGCTCAATTAGAATTTGAAAGGCTTAAACGAGAAAAACGTGAAGCAGAATTAGATGCATGTCGAAATGAAATTGTTCATCTTGTGGCTACTTTAAGATCGTACGAAGATAAAATACGACATTCGCAAGTAAGATTTTCCTTTTTTTCATAGATTGAAACAATTCAAAATATTTTTTTTAGCAAAGACCACCGAGTAGAACATGTGAACCAAAACCTAAAAAGTCAACGTCAGATTCACAAAAACGACAAAAACAAACAGAAAAACAAACAGGAGTTGTATTTATGCGTCGAAATTCAGTGAATTCATAACATTTTTTTGTATGTTCATCCAAGTACTAAAATTTTATATAAACTTTTATTCTTTCAATTCACAGAAGATAATTAATGCAGTTTTGAATTTAAAACTCTTAAAAGTAGGTTTTCAATTTTTCAAAATCCGTTTCTGAAAAGTTGATGATAATGATGATTAATCGCTTGCTTTTAACTTCGACATAATCTGAATTCAATTTTTGTAGTTATTTAAATAATCTTGAGTTGTAATTATAAGTTAAATAACTGTAATTATTTCTCATTCAATCAGCTTAAAATAATTAATCTATAAGGTCTGAAAACAGTAGAAACTTCGCTCATGTTTGAGTTTTAAACAAAAATTCTCACTAAGTTTGTAATTCAAGATTTCTGTATAAGCAAATTTCATTAATGTATTAACTAGAAATGCTTTCGAATCCAATGATAATACAACGGTAACACTAGGGATAGTTCAAAACGGTCTTGATACGATCTTTCTCTCTCGTTTCGTCGATATCCCGAGTGGCATTTTTCAGATACAACCACAGTTTATGAACTCCTTGCGTCATCTATCAACATGTATGAAACTGGCAAAAATAATATCTAGCAATAATCGTGACTGATATTACTGTGTTTCTGAAAAAAAATTCACATATTGCACGTAGAAGTAAATAGTAAAAGCAAATCCGACCGCATTCGTTACTTCAGTCAATAGATCATGATGACAATGCAGAATCTATAAGAAAAATATATCGATATAAAAGCTCACGCTTGTTATTCAGTCACTATTTATTTTTCTAAACCGTTCGCCAAGAAATTCAATTTAATATTCCATTCGCAATGGCAACTAATCGAAAACATCTTAAATCAGGTAAGATTTCAAAAGATTTCTAAAGTATTCTTTGCTATCAAAGACTTATAAGTAGGTTCTACATGTCCACCATTAAAAGAGAATCTATTACGCTTATACAATATGCGTTTTGGACCATTTGGTCGACGTGTTAAACTTGTTTTAACTGCTAAAAATATTCCGTAAGTGTATCATATCTTTTTCTTTCAAACTTCATTTTAACTGTTGTAGATATGAAGAAATTTTGGTTAATCTCACCGATATACCAGAATGGTATTTGAAAAAGAATCCATCTGGAGAGGTTCCTATATTAGAATGGATCGATCCGACTTCAAATTTGATTCGATCAATACCAGAATCAATGATTATTTGCAATTATATTGATGATTTCTATCCAGAACATCATGCTCATTCAGCTGATCCATACGTCAAAGCTAAACAACAAATACTCATTGACCATTTCGGAAACGTAAAATGAAATTTTCTTTAATATAAACAACGCTTTCTCTCATTTTATTAGTGCGTGCCGTTTTTTCATCAAGTCTTTGGGCAAAAAAGTCAGGAATCTTTTGATAAATTATATGAAGCTCTAGTTGTTTACGAAGAAGCTCTTGACAGTCAATTTTTTGGAGGTTCGAAACCAGGAATGCTCGATTTTATGATATGGCCATGGTTTGAACTCTTATCAGCGTTACTGGGACCCGATTTCAACTTAAATTCTACTGGAAAACTGCCTAAACTCGTTGTTTGGTTTAAAAACATGTTAGCAAATGATACGGTCATCAAAACTAAAGGATCGCCCGAAATCCTTCTAAAATATGTGAAAACCGTTGCAGAAGGCAAGCCAAATTATGACGTCGAATAGATTTCTCATGGAATACGTTGCCTAAGAAATAATATTTTTTTTGTGAAACTCACCTTAAAATAAATTTTCTAGTTTTCACTGATTTCGTACTATGAACAACTCCACGCTTCGAGTTTTTCTGTATTCATATTGTCTAAATAAATACTCCTGCTCTTATTAATTTTGACCATCATTCTTTTTTTTCAAACTTATTCTATAATGAAATAACTACCGTGAAGATGTGAGAGATAAATCTTTTCTTCACTAATCGAAATATTGATGATTCATCGTTTATCTGTGTAAGAACAACAAAGATTATTTTTGTCATCATGACTTGCATTGGTAGAAGCAACCCGTTCTTCGGTTCCTTGTTTATGCAGAAAGAAAAGAAAAAAAAGAAAATGTGGTTTAACTCATGATGACGGTGCATAACTCAGCCGGCATATATAAAAACAAAAAAAATAGCTTGCTTCTATTATTCTCTCACTGTTTATTATTCGAAGCTTTTCACCAAGAAATTCAATTCAATATTCACGATGGCAACTGGTCAAAAGCATCTTAAATCAGGCATGAATTTAGAATATTTCTAACTTAATTTTTCTAATTATAAATAAATTTAACTAGACTCGGAATGTCCACCATTGAAAGAAAATGAATTACGATTATATAGTATGCGTTTCTGTCCATTTGTTCGACGAGCTAAACTTGTTTTAGCCGCGAAAAGTATTCCGTAAGTTTATCCCAGTTTTTTCTTTAAAATTTCATTTTCACTATTTTAGATATGAAGAAGTGCTGATCAATCTTAATGATGAACCTGAATGGTATAAAAAAAAGAATCCTTCTGAGGAAGTTCCATTACTAGAATGGATCGATTCTAATTCAAAAGAGACTCGATCAATACCTCAATCATTGATTATTTGCAATTATCTTGATGAGTTGCATCCAGAACATCTTCTTCACCCTGTCGATCCATATGCCAAAGCTAAACAACAAATACTCACTGACGATTTCGGAAACGTAAATGAAACATTATTTTCTTATATATTAACAAGTTTTTTCTCTCGTTTATTTGTAGGTTCGAACACCTTTTTACCAATTATTCTGGGGAAAAGACCAGAAACATATTGACGAGTTAAATCAAGCTTTAGCTGCTTATGAAGAAGAACTTCATGGTACATTTTTTGGTGGTGCTAAACCAGCAATGGTCGATTATATGATATGGCCATGGTTTGAATTGCTTCCAGCTTTAAAGAATGTAGGTTTCGTCTTAAATGCTGATGGAAAACTACCAAAACTTGCTGCTTGGTTTCAAGCAATGTTAGCCGATGAAGCAGTTGCCAAAACTAAAGTGTCAGATGAAATCATTCAAAAATATGTAAACAGTATTCAAGAAGGCCATACAAATTATGATATTGAATAGATTTACCGAAGAATACTTTAAATAATCGATCCTTTTTCTTCAAACTCGCCTGATAATAACTATGTGCGTTTTCATTGATTTCTCAATCTAGACAATTTTGTGGCTTCATTTTTTTCTGTATACCTATTGTTATTAATTCATCAATCGTTTATAAAATTGAACGATATAAAAATTAATTTCATAAAAGCCCGCAAATGTTTGTATTATTCATTTGCTTAAGTGAACAATAATTAATATTACGAAAAAAGTGTATTTACTTATTTACAATACTAACAGCGTCCTAGTAAGTTTTCTCATAAAACTCAATATTCATTATTTGTTCATTTACATTCAAAACAAAATGCATCGTTAATTTTTATTAAACATAAAAAAAAGGCAAATACAAGTTACATATGTGCACAGAAACAATAGTTAGATGGAAATATTTTTGTACAACACTTCGTAGATGACATAAATTAGCAATATCAAGACATTGGTTGATGTTTTTTCACCCATTGTTCAAATGCTTCTCTGCATATAATATAAATCAATAGATATATTAAAAAAAATGATTTTTTTAAATTCCTACTTGCAAAATACTGATAGACATTGTGCACTACAATATTCTCCGTCCCATTCAGGATGTTCAATAGAAGAATTTTCACATCCAATGCGCTTACACTTTGTTGTAGAACATTCGGAACTATCGACGATAATTGACAATGACTATGTACAAGAGAATATATAAGAGTAAGAAAAACGAAATAGTCAGCAAGTATTGAGATGTGTGGGTTGGTCCCAGTGACTCTAGCTTTTCTACTGTCTGTTTTCATTAAGAGAAAAATATTGCAGAATGTCTTCGTCTGACATGTAAAACGCTTCTTCAATACTAGCAATTTCTTTACTAAAACTGTACTCCGAAACATGGGAGTGCCACTTTCTTCCTGTTGGTGGGTCTGGTTCTATACATCTTTAGTAAGGACTTCGTGTGAGTTATGCTTGAGTAAAAGAGGTTGGCGTAGAAAGTGATGGTGTACAACTTTACATGATCTCAGCAGCAAATGCCAGAACAGTGTATTGAGGATAATATTATTCAGAAACCGATAAAAACTCCTATTTATACATCTTCACCCAACCCTTTTTGTTTCTGATAGAGATACAAAACATGAATTATTACCGGTGTTGTTGAACGTAATGAATCCGAATTATTTTTATCTGATAAATATTCTATTGAAGCCATCAACAAAAATCAAAAATATAAATATCTGAAAAAAGTTATCTTATTGATATCTAAACTGAATAATTTATTAGATTTAATTATGTTTTCATGAACAAAAAGAAAAAAGATTGAACGAAAATGTACGAATCACCACTGTGTGGTTAAACATGCGGTTTGATTCCAATGAAAATTATTTTCATTACTAGTCGGCAATAATGATGCATGATCATCTTGTTTTTCATCATGTAAACCATGATGAACATTATTCACATAGTCATAATGTTTCTCCATGTGTCCATTTGTCATCGAATTAGGATCTGGATAATGTATTAGATTTGTATTATTATTATTCAAATTATGTATTAAATTTTCATTTGTTTTCGTATGTTCATTATTCATGGACGATTGACAATAATAAGACGATGAATAATGTTCAGGTTCGATAACTGGCCGAAGTAACCCATATTGTTGTTGATAGTCCGAATAGTTATTATTTGAATCATACGATGAATAAGCATGTTGACTAGGATTAGAGAAATATACTTGATGATCAGAATGGTAGGCGTTTGAGGTATCTTGAGAATATGGATTTATATAATGAAAATGATTATATGGCTGTTTTTGATGTTGAATAGAGGGCGTTGGACAATAGGATAGAAGTGAATGAGGATTGTTATTTATCATCGATGCTGTATGATATTGTTTTTGTTGATGTTGAATTAAATGTGCATCGAATGTTAAGGAGTTTTGATTGAGAAGATGATGCATATTCGGTGTCTAAATGAAAAATAAGAATGAAGTTTTGAGTTCGACAGATATGAAATTTTTTACTTGATTTGAAACTTGAACAGCGCGATAGGCAGCTAATTGTTTTAAATATTCTTTTTTAGCTGAAGCTGCTTTGGATTTATATTGCTAAAGAGTAATCATAAAAAAATAATTTTCTCTTAAAAAATCCTATTATTTACTTCTTTAAGTTCGGGTTCAATACTTTCCCACATATGTGCAACAACTTTTGAGATTTCTCTAAAAAAACAAATATCAGAAGCAAAGATTTAACTTTTGTTTTATTTACCCAAATGATGGATTAGCTAATTTCTTTTTTATATCATTTTGTGTATCACGAAAGAATAATGCATATGGAGACACAGGCCTAAGGAAATATATTTAATAGAATTCGAAAAATAAGTTTAGTCCTTTTTGTCTTGTTTTACTTTTGTGGTTCATTTGGATCTTTACGTTTCTTTTTTGTTTGTTTCTTTTTCTTAATTGTTTTATTAGTTACTGTATCATTCTAAAGTAAAATGATTAATTAATAAAACAATTATTTTTCTTAATGCATACTGGTCTATTCAGTGATGACGACGATGACGGTAGTGGCTGTGGTGATGTTTCATCAATCTCACTTGTTGAAGATTGTTGAGGTGAAAATGATTGAACTTCATGTTGATATTGAAAATGATTATGTAAAGGATGTCGATGAATATGAGCAGATTGGTTATAGAGTTCTAAATAGCATTTATGATTTAATACATCAATAAAATATAGATTAAATTTTAAAACTAAATTCAAAATGTTTTTAATCTCAATTTACAAAACATGTTTCGGTCTAGAGATAATGAATCGAAACATTCGCTAAAGTACTATGTACTTCAAAGAGAAAAGTCTAACCATACTTATGAATGAGTTTTTAGCGATTCCTCAAAACTAAAAGTGTAATATACCATTATCACGTTGTGATGATAAACTTTCATTAGTATTATTTTCATAAATATATTGCATTTTCGAATGAATAAATCGCTGTTGATTATTTGTTGTCTCACTATTTTGAACCAACGATTGTTGAATGGAGTTTGTCGAATGTAAATTTTGATGAACAATCTAGATATGAAAAGAAACAAAAAAAAATAGAATGACTGTCAAGGAAAAGACGTGAGGTTTTTTTTCTTCATCATAGTGATTGCTAACAAATAAAGTAACAATCATTGACCACCTGTTTTATTTTTTTGCTAGCTTTTACTCTCAATTACAGCTAATTTCATCATCTAAAAGACTTCTTATTCGTAAAAGTAAAAGATACCGCCCCTCAAATAAAGGAAAAGAGTGAACAATATAAGAAGAACGATTATCACGTCAGGTAGTCCATGCGGTGCACGATCAATAAGTCACACTCAATAAAGAGAAGAAGAAAAAAGACTTACTTATGTAAAACAAAAAGAAAAAAGCAGAACGAAGAATCATTTTCTACTAGTAAAAAAAAAATATTGCATTCAATGACGATGATAAAATTGCGAGAAAGGGTCAATCATTTTTTTTTCTCTGTTATGGTTGAATGAACATTTGTGTGACCAAATCGAAAAACAAAAATATTCATACGAGACGAAAAGAAAAGAAAAATTTCAATAAATTCTTGTTATCATTGTTAAATAATCAAATAAATGATTTCATAAGATGTGATAGCCTACGTAAAAATTGAAACACACTACTGTTTTCTTTTTCTTTTATCTTTCTTACCATCGTTAGTTCGAATGATTTTCAAACAAAATGAAATAAATCAATTGCAAGAAAAACATAGAGAGAGAGAGAGAGAACTTTTCAATACATTTTGGTTAATCTTATAAATCAATATTTTCTTTTCTCTGATAATCCTCAGTGGAAAAAGAAAAAAAACGATTCCTTTCACCAATCAAATTCTAGAAAGAAAGAGAATAAATCTCTGATAAATACTCATTGGTTAGAATAAGTCATTACAGGAAATTTATACGCACTGATTTCAATTAGTTTTCAGTCAACTTTACATGTTTGAAGATTTCCAATGATGCTGCTGTATCAGTCCGGAGAAAACTACTATAATAACCAATACCCACGCGAGCGAGAAGTTTAGTTTTTTGATAAGCGAAGAAACTGATTTTGATAGCAAGATGGCGGCTGGTCTAGTCCGTCATGAGCTATGTGACTGTTTTCACGCCCTTTTCAGCGTACAAATTTTCTTGTGAAATTAGAAAATATACGAAAAAGCATATAGCTCATCATTCATCGAATTGAAAAGTTTCATTTATCTTAGTACACGCCTGAAATTATCATCGTACTGTAAACGAAGATGAATATCTCGTACATTCATCACTTCATTAATGATAGGCATGATTTCCTTCCCAATCGAGAATTATACATCTCAGTGAAATGAAAAACACTTGTATTTCGATCTCTTCCGAAAACCATTTGTTTATCTTTTATTATTGACACAAATCTGTTAGATATATTTTGTTTTCTATTGACATCTTTATAATTATAATAAATATCTGCATGCCAGATCAGTTGTTCGCTTCCCTATGATTAAAATATCAATGTGTATACAATCTTCTGACAGATACAATTACTTCTAGTTCATTATTAACTATTCCGCCCATATTCTAAAGTAATTCGCATCTGTACATACATGCAATTTCCCTATTCAATTATCAGAAGCAAATCAAGAAAGTGTAAACACTATTGATAATTCGTTGTCGTTTTTCAATGTTAACTAACCGCATGTAACACACAGAATAGAATGAAAGAAGGAAAAAATTTGTTTCATTCGAGAAATCAAATAAATGTCTACGTATAATGAGATCTTCGCATGAAATTTTTTCTTTAGATTAATAGAAAAAGTGTAATCAAGTGGAATTGATTGAATGTAAGTGCTATCATCATCTTTTCACTTAGGAAAAGAAAAAGAAAATTCATTTATTTGTTTTAAATGTACATCTGCAGTTATCCGATGAACAATATTAGTAGATGATTGAATGAATAAGTTCGTTTTTTTTCAAAACGACTTAACATGCAAGTCAGAAGTCAACAAAACAAATATGAATCAATCTCTAAGAAAACATTTGTAACTAACTTATGCCCACCTATGATTGTTTTCGTAGACACATAAATCGATCAATAAGAAAATTGAAGAGAAATGTGTACACGAACGTGAATATATGTGATAGAGGCAGAGAGAGAGACACACTTACTTTGTATCGTCGTTGTTTGTCATTATATTTAGATCGTATTGAAATTTTTTCTTTTGGAATATTTTTTGTCTGCGTCTCCAATTCTTTAGCATCTAAAAAAGGCATCATTTATACAATACCGCTGCAGTAGACAATGGCAATGAAATGCGTACATGCATGTGTGACATTTTCGGGAGCTCAAATTCTTTTCTTTCTCGTTTTTCCAGTTCCTTTTTTTCGTGCTACCGTACACTTCTGCACTTAATTTGATGACAATTGGATCTCAATTCAAGTCATGTATTCGTTTTTTTTATATAGAAAAAAAAAGAAAAAGAATCAACACACAAAGACAATGATAATGGTCAATAATATTCGCAACAACAAAATAGTTGGAAAACTTTTTTTTTACGACCAGAAAAAGAAAACAATTCATAAATGACATAACAATTTTATATATCACGACGATGAAGCTCGATTGCTATATGCAGCATAAGCACGTTGAGCAGCACTCGCTGTTGATGATGAAACAGTTGGCGGTGCTGATATTGTCGTTGCTGATTGTTGATTACTATTATTCGATGAATACTAGAAATGTAATAGTTCATATTTTCTTTTCGAATATTAAATTTAAAAAAACGAAACTTTTTAAACATCCCCAAGAACTTACCATTGAAAATGTCCCTTCTCTTCTATTTCTTCTTTCAAAAATTAAACAACGTCTGCGAGAAATAGCAATTTATCAAAATAAAACGGGAGAAATGACAGTTTTTCACAAGGATAGCAAAAAAAGACGTCAATAGAACGCAATCAATAGTTATACTCTCTTTCTCTTATTGAGTATATAAGACTCTTGAGTTGATACCTGACAATTGTATTGAAATGTCGAAGACAAATAGTTGATCATTGTCAGATGCGTACACGTGTTACAAAGTCGTCCGCAAATGGCACTAGTAAAATCAGGAGGATAGACGATGTCCAGCAAGCGCAACGATAGAATGTGTTTTTTCCTTCCCCCCGAAAAAGAACTTTATCACACAATTTTTTTATCTTCCAACAAAATAAAGACCCAATCAATCTTGACTTCTGAAAAGCTTTGAGTCTTCACTGAGAAACTTACAACAGTAGCCAATAAATATTTATATCTGCCAATCACATAATCGATCATTGATTACATTTTAATGTTTCATCTGAGAAGTTTTCATAAGTGTGCGTGATCAAGTAACTCCATGCTAGAAACAAGAAGTAGGACGCGATACTCAAAAAAAAGAAGAAGCAGTTTCCAAGGAAAAAATGAGATTCACTATCAATCCTTTTCTACAGTCAATATCATCGCTCACAAAACAAAACAACATGTGATTCAAGTTTAAAACTTTTTTTTATTACTCACCGGCATTCCACTGTAAGATGGAGCTGAATTTTGTGGTTGAGTCAAAGCCGCCGAAGCAGCTAATGATGCTGCTGTTTGCATTTGTGTATACCTGTGAAAGAAAACTTTCTGTTGATGAATTCTGTTTAAGAGATAAAGAGGTAAAGATAAAGTTTTTATGAAACTTTCTCGATCGATCTATTAAATCTACTTTTAGCTGTCAGGTATCCTTGTAATTATCAATTTATATTCAAAAGAAAAACAAACTATACCATTGTTGGTAAGCAGCAATTTGCGAAGCATCATAACCAGCATTAACCCTAGGGAAAGATTTTTTTGTATATAAAATAATAGAAATAGAATTCTAAAATACCATTGTTGCATCCAATTTTGTTGAGCATCAGCAGTTGATTTTGATAAATCATTCGATAGATTTGCTTGTGACGCACTGTTTGCTTGTTGATTCCAAGCATTTTGCGTAGCAGCACTAAGAGCGGCTGCTTGTAAAATAGATGCTTGCTGAAGGTTAGCTGCTTGTTGCATCACTTGTAATTGTTGCTGTTTCGCTTGTAATTGTTGTTGAAAAGTCTTCAAAAAAAGTTAGTTTTTGTTTTCAATCAGTTTTTAAACTAGAAATAGAAACATACGATTAAATACTGTTGTTGTTGGGGTGTTATTGGCGTCCCGGATTGTTGAGCAACCATAGCTTGTTGCAATGCCGTTGTATATTGATTGTATTGTATATGATATTCGCTACTTGCTTTAGCATAAATAATAGCTGGATTAGTTTCGAGATCAGACAATTGTTGATCCTGTTGCTGTTGTGGTTGTTGCATTTGTTGTTGCTGTTGTTGTTGTTGTTGGCGATGCTGTTGTGGTGGTAGTGGTGGTTGTGGAGGTTGGGATTGATTAGAAGGTTTCCATTGGTCATAATTTGATGGTCCGTTGCTATAGTTGTTATGATTATTATTATGATTTCCATTCCATTGATTATTTTTATTCATATTGGAAGGAGGCATATTATTATCCCATGAACGTTTTTGATGAGAATCATAATTTTTATTTTGCCATTCGTTGTTATTCGAACTCCAGTTTCTTCCATTATGATTTTCACTTCCAGGTTTAGACCAGCCACCATTATATCTTTATTTCCGAATAGATAACTGAATCAATGAGTTTGTTTTTAATAGAAGAAAATTTTTACCTATTATTGTTATTAGTATGATTATCATAATTATTATAGTCATTTTGATTATTGGAATAGTTTCCATCATTACAGTCCCATGATAAGCGTTCTAATAATTGGCAACGTTGTTTATAATCTTGAAAATTTTTTATTCGCGTATTTACATCAAGTTCATTCGGTTGTCCATTAGAGTTTAAAAGTGGCACCGGTACTGCTCGCAATTGACTAGCATCAAACAAATTTAAATCTATACTCATTAAAGTAGGTGGCAAATCTTCATTATTATAATAGTTATCATTCGACCAGTCTTCATCATTATCATGATTTTCATTAGGCCAATTTTCATCGGGATTATAAACAGGATATTGAGGAACTAAAACAAAAATTAATGATATTATACAAGTTTGTTGAGAATTTCGTACTCAAATCTTGCTGAAAATTTTACTGAACACAGGATTCATACCTTTGAAAATTTCTATTCGCTATGATTGGATCAATATTCGCTGATGAAAAGTCAACTCAACTTTAGATATGTACTATATTTTGTCTGTTTATTCCTTACGAAAATCCAATCCGAAGATGATCTTTATTTCATACGACTTACGTCCTACATTTGTTACCCATTTATTAAAACCATTTTTTCGCCCAATTTGAAGTATAATAGGATGAATAGTAGCTCCTGCTTCGTCCAATATATGAATAAGTGCTGGCGCATGCCGAGCATCTTCATTTGAGAAAAATGTAAATGCTGTACCACAATGAGAACTTCGACCTGTACGTCCTATTCTATGTATATAAACAGCGTCTGACGTTGGAAAATCAAAATTAATCACAAATCGTACATCATCAACATCTATACAAATGAATGTTAACATAGATTGAAAGCTTAATATTTATTAAGAAAATTTCCATACCTAAACCTCTTGATGCAACATCAGTTGCAAGTAAAAGTGCATTTGGAGTTTCACGAAATTCTTTCAATACTTCATTTCTCAATTGTTGACTTTTTGAACCATGTAAAAGTAAAGCCTTATAACCATTCTGTTCGAGATCTTTACTTAATCGATTGACTTTATCTCGTGTTCGCACGAATATAATTGTTTTTCTATCAGGTGCATAAGCACAAACTTCATCGAGGATTTTAAAAAGATTTTGTTTCTTCTGTTGTTCATTTGGACAAAAATCAACAATTTGTTCAATATGCAAATTCACAGCATGAGATTCGGATAAACATCCAACTGTTGCATGAACATAATTTGTTAGATAATCTTCTGCTAATGATTTTATTGATTTTGGCCATGTAGCTGAAAACATAGACATTTGAGCTTGTTGTCGTGCTTGTTGTTCTTCACCACTTAATTAAAAAAACAAGAAAAATGGATTAGAAACATTAGACCTTTTTCCGTCTTACTCAGCAGATTTCGTTGCTTTAAAATCAGCAAGAATATTTCTAACTTGTGTTTCGAAACCTAAGTCAAGCATTTTATCAGCTTCATCGAGCACAATAAAATTCACACGATAAAGTGTTGTTATTTTTGATTCGAGAAAATCTTCTAATCTTCCTGGTGTACATATATATACTTCTTTTCCTTCACCGATTTCATTGATTTGTTTTTCTCGTTCATCACCGCCAATAATACATAAGGACTTAATGCCAAACATATTAAAGTAGGGCTGTGCAACATTGTGAATTTGTTGTACTAATTCTCGTGTTGGTGCTAAGACAATAGCCATAGGACCATCATCGGGTTGTAGTGGTGGTTGTTTTCGAATATGACATACAAGTGGAAGAATAAACTAAATTTAACGAAACAAAATTTTTTTCTTTTAAAATTAATATTAATTTCTAGCTTACAGCAAGTGTTTTCCCACTTCCTGTACTTGCAATGCCAACAAGATCTCGATTTTGACTAAGAATAGGCCAAGCTATTGATTGAATAGGTGTTGGCATATCAAATTCACTTTCTTCAAATTGTTTTAGGACTTCCTCTGTAATAAAAAAATTCTTTTTTTTTGTTCAGTTCACAAAGAAAAGAAATTTCTCATTTTTTATTACCTGAGAAATTCGTATCACTAAATTGTAGCCATGGACGAATACCAGCTGCATTTTCAACTTTGATATGAAATTCAGCACAAAACGATTGCACATCATCAAGGTCAGATACAGTTGGATTAACTGTTTTCTGTTCTGATTTAATATTTATTTCTTCTTTTTCTTTTTGATTAGTATTTTCATTAGATAATTCTACTGAATTTGCGTCAGTCATTGTCAATCTATTCCTATCTTCGAAGAAAGCTATAATAGCGCCTTCCTTTTTTTTGTAATGTTTTATACCATGACAGAATGACAATTGCCTTTTTAATTTTATTGGATGAAAAATAAAGTAACAAATAAAAGCATGTGAAAATTTATACGATAGAGGACAGAAGTTATCTAGAGAATGAGTGACCATTGATTGGAAAGAATGCTTGTCTGAGGATTATATACACAAAAATAGTTTGATTGAATTGATAGAAGTCGATAATTAGGACAACAGAGAAGAACGGTACGTTGGCAACTGGTTATATACGGTGTTCGATTAAATCTAAATTAAAAAAATAATTTTGTAATCAACATTTTGATGATATTCTATTATAATATACTAACATGTATCGACATTGAGCAACGCCATTAATGATTTGATCGCAACCGGTCAGTTGAGGTTGCAAATTATATCTAGTACATTGCTGAGTACCTGCAAAAATATAACGAGAAAATTCATAGTAGAAAGTAGATCAATATTTGTAATGTATAACCTTCAGTTCTACAAGGCTGATAATTTAAACATCCACCACACGTGGGTTGGGATGGCAATTGACAACGAAACGACGATTGGGGACATGCCGATGTGGTTGTTCCAATTGTTGTTAAAATATTAATTGGCACAAATGCAGATACTGTAGTACTTACAGTAGTAGTTGTTATAATTGCAGTAGAGCTTAAAGTAACAGGCATTGGTTCAGGATCTGTTATAATAATAAAAAATTATTAAAAAGTAGATTTCAATTTTTTTGTTTCGTATCAGTTCGGATAATTTCAAGAGTGAAAGATATGGTATTCATTGAAAGAATTCCCCTATCTCGAGAAGATTCGAACATACCAAAGAAAATCGTAGCATGAAAACCAGATTCAGGCAGGCCACTTTTAGCATTAATTGAATTATTTGCTCGGAATATAACTAACATTGTATTTGTTGCTGCCGTCACATTCAACCAATCCGAAGTTATCGTTTTTCCACACCATCTTTTTAGGAAACAGTGAAAAAGCATTTTTTTTTAAATTTAACATTCAAAAAAAAAATACAAACCGAGCACCAGTCAAAGCAAGATCATTTTGATATTTAACTTCAATTGATGATCTTAAGCTGCATACAGCAGTTGCTATGGTATTTAATGAATCTAATCGTAAATGAATTTTTCCCGGTGAAATAGACTTAAAAATACAATTAAATGAGCAAGAAAATTTTATAACGAAAATTTCAATTACTCGAATAAGATAAACGCAATATTGTGCTGTGGAAACTGTGCTGCTAGGTGCAGGATTTTCAATTGTGATTTGTGCAGATGAATATGGTGTTGGATTAAGAATTATATCTCCACAATTACTATGTGCATCTCTTTCGTCACAATTAGTACCGCCGAAACCTTCTGGACATATACAATATGAACATGTTCTTGGATCAAGATAACCATTATTGTGACAAGCATTGTTACTAAACATTTGTGGACAACCTTAAATAGTGAGAACCGAATTACGAGTTTAATCTAAAAAAAATACTTTAACTTTTTAATACCTGTCCGAGTGCAATAAAGTCGATTGATTTCTTTATAATCATAAAATGCTGCTCTTTGTCTTTGTCCCATGGTTTTTCCATATCGACTGTCAAGTGCGATTATTGTTGGCAGATGATTATTTGAAAATGCATATGTATCATAATGCATAATGGAACCATAATCATAAAGAAAAGTAATATCAGGAAATTGGATTGTTCCGATTGACCAAATAAAAAAATTGCCAGCATAATTCGGTAGAATATTAGATGTTGCAATTGATACATACGAGCCACGATCGACTCGTTGATGTGTATGAATAAAACCGAGTGTATGTCCGATTTCATGCATTATTGAACCAATAACCTACAAAAAAAGGATACTCATGTAGAACGTCGTGAAATAAGAATAACATGAAAAGTATTTTGCTATCAGCTTATTGATCAAGGAAGCTATTTTGAACAAATGCTTTCGAAACAATAGATCACTTGCAAAAAGCAGTGCAATTCAAGAAATTTGAAATGCTGATTATAGGAATCTGAAACGCCCGTATGATTTGTTTAATAGTCCACAGGATGATTGGCCAATCTTCTAGGAAAATATCTTTTTAGCATTTCGATCATTTGGATCTCATTTTCAGTTTTGACGAGATTGTTAAGACAGACAATTCTTTTTACTTACAGAACCACAGTAAAATGAAATAAGTATAACTGATGTTGGATCAGTTATATCATAGCCTACGGGACTCGAGCATCCATATTGATCATCACGTTGAAATAGAATATAAGATTTATTGGTGGTTGGTGCTATGAACGACAGTTCATTGAATGTCAAACATGTATTATTTTTCCAAAGCGAAATAGCAGTATGAACTAATTAGAAAGGAAATTTATGAGAAAAGATAGATTTTTTTTACTATTAGCAATCATCGATGGAGTAAAATCAGTTGTTCGACTTATAAAATAATTAATTGGTGTACTCCATCTACTTGTTAGAGATCGAGCATCAAGTTGTGAACGCGATTCTGGTCGATAAAATGAATTTATATTATTATCTGCTAAGTATGGAACACCAGAAACATTGAAGATTGTTTCAAGAGTGCTAAATAGAATTTATTTTATATGACATAAAATTCCTACAGGTATCTTCATACATACACAGAATCAAATATTTGTGATAATTGATTTCGACGAATTCGTAATTCTTTACAATCAAGCGTACTATTTGTAGAATTTTCTGGAAAATTAAACGAACTATTTGATGTTGATGAAGGAATCTGAAGTTTAAAAAAATAGAACAACTCAATCAATACGAAGTCTTTTACAAACCAATGAAAGTGCATTCATGAAAACTTTTGCATTATAAACCAGAACGCAATCTTCGGCTGTTTCGTTTATATTGCAAACGTTTGCATCGGCGACTGAATCGATTGTGAGTAAACGTTTTATTGAAAACTATTAGAAATGAAAAGTTCATCAATTTTGTTTTGAAGAACAAATTTTTCATTACTGACATTATACTTTCTATTGATAATGCTCGTGTTCGATGTAGGAATATCCAATGGTGTTGAGTTATGTTTAGCTTGAATAACAGCGACTATAGCATATACGATAATTGGTATCGAAATAAATACAAGAACAGGTATTGTCCAACGGCAAAGAGAACAGTTAATTCTCCGAGAGTTTGTCTTGTTTTTCATAAATAAGAACAAAATTTACCGATACCTGCCTGCTAATAGAAAAAACTATTGCCTTACAGGGTAAGAAAACATCAGTTTAAATACTATGTGAATTTTATATGGCTATATAATCTACGGTACAAAATCAATCCGACGTAAGTGTACATGGACATATTATAGTATTATATGTAGGAGGGAATGTATGACTTAATGCGAAATTAATTCTATTTTCAGTACAAAGTGTGAATTAAATAAATATCAAGCAACGGCGAACCACTTTTCTCTCTTTCATTAGCCCTGATAGTTGTTGGAATCGGCAAATAAATTGTAAGAAAATTGTTAACATTCAGTCAATGATATTAGAACAATTAGAAGCAATATTGATTACACAAACAAGTCAAGAAAGTTGTGACTTGTGAAATGATGCAGCAGAATCGTAACTTTCGTTTTATATTACAATATCGAAATTATGAATGAAAATACTTTTATTGAAAAATTATAAAAAAGAAAGAACAACTTGAAAAATAAGGTTCGCATTGTTTTGAAAGCTCTTAACACATTTTCTTGAGACTTTTTGGAATTTAATTTTTGAATCACAATTTGTATCTGATTTAATATTACATGAAAATATAAGAATCAAAATTTTTAATCGCTTGAGTCGGAATGCATTAAATGCAATCAAAACATCGGGCCTAAAATTTTTAAAAAAATAAGTCTCTTGATTAATATATAACTATTAAAATTCTTCATTAAATTTTTAATGCAGCTTCATGTAAGATGGTTAAAAGAAGATGAGCAGTTGGTTGTCTATCCACGGACTGACTGAGTTTTTCAATAATTTCTAACACTTGAAAGCCTAATTTTGCTGTTTCCGATTGATTCTCGTGTTCGGCATTTTCCACCTGACATAAATCAGCCAGTTTCTTAATATCATTCTCTAAACCTACTGCGCATATCGCTTCACCAATACGCATCAAGGCTTGATGTTCTTCTTGAACTATTTTTTTTGCTGCGAGAATTACACTCATGAAGCGATCCATAATCCAGCCAAAGCTGAGAATAGTACCTGCTTTATAAGCCACATAATACCATGCACTAGTTTTACTCAGCTTTTCTCTATAACTAAAATAAATACTTAGAAGAAAGATACAAAGAAAAAATAGATTTCGTTACTTCAATTGACCATCATCGAAACGAGTTCTCATTTCTTTCATCAATTGACGAAATTCTAATGCTGCTGTTTCAATTGAGTCATTGTTTTGTCTCTCTTCCTGCACGCATGAATGACATCCTGTAATTAGTTCGTATTCATTTTTTAAATCGTAACTCGATAGTATGGCATTAATTCGCGAAGAATAATATTTATAATCTTCTTCAGATTGAGTAATATATTTTTTAAAGCTTTTAACCAGAAAAGCTCTATTGACATCAATCTTCTCATCATCATTTTCATCTTGCCATTTTTCATGAATTCCGCAGACTTCTTTGACTTGTCGAAACATAATTCCAATACTTGAATCGGATATGAATGAGTCTTTAAACTTATTCTCCATGAAATCTGGATAAGATTTAAAGTTCAGATCTTTAGGACATTCTGGAAGTACTCCAGTTTTTGGAAAGTCCACTGCCTCAGAAATAATCTTTGCTAAGCGGCATGATTTGTCATCACCGGGTCCATTTATGGCACAACAAGCAAGATGCCGATTTGATAAAGCACCCAAAGAGTCTGAACTTAAATATTTGAACAGGAAATCAGCAATCTCCCTTATTGTGATTTCACCATTATGTTTCACTTTCTCTGCTGAATCAAATGTTGCCGGTTCGTGTTGTAAAGTTGCATGATTGACAAGATCCTCATTCCAACATACCCAATACTTGAAAAAGTAGGATAAAGAAAATAAGAAAATTCAATAGAACTAGCTTACTTCATCACCATCGATATCACTACCACTGATTTCATTTGGATGAGGACGTACTCCTTGAGCAGGAAAGACAACACAGTCGTAGAGATGATGAAGAGGTGGACAATCGATAGCAACTAATTTCCGGATATCACCAGGAAAATGTGCTGGATTTTTGGTGATCAAGATGTTGCGATCTTTTAGAATTTCACTTTGACCATTAAGATCACGAAGTTGTATAAATACTTGACCGTATTGAAGCGACATTGTTTCATCCACAACACCCAGCAACATTCGTCCGTCCGTAAGTGGAATTTGAACATGCGATTTTTCTCTTAATTTCGTGAGTCTACGAAGAAAACAAATTCTATATAGTTAAATATGTGTATAATATTACCGCTCTTGCGCTAATAGAAGTAATAATGATCGCGCAAACGGTTCTCTAGTTAGTTGAGTTCCTGCTTGACGTATTCGTTTCCAATCATAACATCGAACATGTTGCTCAAGAGTATGTTGAGCTTGTTTATTAGCCAATAAAGACATGGATATTTTCATCCGTGCCTTATTTTGCAATTTTACAAAAATGTGCTTGCTGACTCCCATATTTTCAAGTAGTACAATTACTTGACGATTCAGAAATGCCATTCCTGTTAAAAAAAATTTGAATTTATTATATCTTACTTTTTTAAATTTCTCTTACCTGAGCTAGAATGTTTAACAATTTCTAATATGTTGTGATCAACGCTAAATTTATATTGACTTGGGCGATATTGAATCAATATACCCCTATCACTTAAATCAGGAGCAATAACAAATACTCCTTTGATACCATTTAATCGAGCTTGAATCACACATGGCATATAGTTATCTTCGAGGAGTTCTGAATTGTAAATCATAAACGCCTAATTGAAAAAAAAGATATTGATTCGCATTTTTTGTTATAGATGAGCAATACATTGACTTACTTCTTTTAATGCCATAGGAGAAATTTTACCAGCGCCATCAGTAAAAATTCGACTTTGAGCGTCCAATTTATCGTCGATTTTTTCAATCTGATTAGGTAAAAGCTAAAAAGAAAGCATGGTTAACATGATCAAATTTCGAGTGAAATAATATAGTATTATTTTGCGTTACCTTTAGAGTTGGCGTCGTGCCAGTTAATGACAATGCCATTCTGGCAATACGTGTTCCGATGCATTTTTCACGTGAAAAATCACCCATCCATTCTCGAATATCCGTTGCCCGACGGCCTTCATATTCAGAGTGAAACCAAAAACTCCGATCACGCAATTGACTATTTGAACATAGTAGAAATTCAAATGTTTGATCACCAACCTGAATATTCTTGTTTGCCATTATCATATCTTGAACCCATTGTTGATTAATTTTCATGAAGTCTGCTTGTGGCTGTCCAAGATCCACATCCCGAATGATAACGCGACAAAAATTTCTACCAGGACCGAATAGTTCTTCTTCTCGCAAGATGCGGTTTCCTCGCATCGGTTTCACTGGCAAAGGATATATACCATAGGGTGTTAAAAATATTCGCGGAACATACACCCATTTATCCAACATCTCACTTGATGGCAACGGTTGGATATTGTCAAAATCTTCGTTGATATCGAAGAAGCAGTTGAATCGTGCTCGATAATAAACAGCTGTTAGTTTTAAATAACATCGGTGATTGGGATATTGTTCACCGTATGATAAATTTGATAAATACTTTATTTTTTCTAAAGTATCTGCTGTTAGTCGATGTTTAATCCGATATCCTAATGTCATGAGCATTTGAAAAGCATAATTAGACCAAAAGTTTGATAAGTTTTGATCGAACAACAAGGCTTGAGCCGACATTCGATTGCAATTGATCTTTCCTTGATGGTGATCTAATTTTAGTACAGTAACCAAAAATTCTTTAAACTCTTCTAATGACTTTTGGCTGCGAAACTTCAAGGATAACGCGGAACTGTTTGCCAAACATGCTCCATCAATGCTGCCGAAATCAAGTTTTCTTTGACGATATGAACTGTGTCGGTGTTGAGGAGAATCATAACATCGAGGTGATGTTTTGAGAGGCAAAATGATTTTATATTTTTCAGATTGGTTGCTTAGAATAATAAAATATTTATCTAAACAATCTTGATTTAGGCTAAATTCCGAAGTCCCATGTTTAATAGTTAAATGTTTCTGTCTGACATCTGTTTCCCATTTTAACAAATGCTTATCAGCAACTTTCGTTCGCCAACGATACGCTTGTGTTGATAATAAGTATCCAAATGATATTTCCATTAAATCAGAAGATTTATAAGCCGATGGCTCTATTTCATTATTAACTTCTAATCGTTTTTGAATCCATACTGGTAAATCTGTATAGAAAAAAGTATATATAATACGATATAAAACAAAAAACCTACGATTAAATAATCCTGATATGGTATTCATTTCGTCTTCATTTTGAAATTTAAATGAACGGGATGTCAAGCCACGAATAATATTCAAGCATTTTCTAGTTGGTAGTTCCTTAAAATTTTCTTCCAATGTTTCCAATTGGGATCGCAGCAGTAAAGCATGTCGCTCTTGATATGTAAATGTGCCGAACATTACTATTTTGCTGAGTTCTTGCTTGTTAAAATAATTTCCCCACGAAGTTGTTCTCTATGTTACGCAACTACCGTTCCAACTGACAAAAGCAACGCAAGAATTCACCTTTTATACCTCCCTTTTTTTTTAAATATATGTTGCATAAGTAAAGTAAATAAACTAAAAAAGAAATCTGAGTAATACATTATTATCAACCTGTGATTACTCATTTGAGTAGTCCACTGGGAAAAAACCCAGTTAGAACGCAAGAGAATATAAATGCACTAGAATTACTTATCTTAGCCCTTTTTTTAGTTTTATCTTAAGTTTTTCAATTCATTTTTGTATTATTGTTACTGAATATGAATGGTTCAATAATATCTAAGAAATGGGAAATAATGAAAAGTAAAGAACGGAAAAGAAAAAGAAAAACACAACATGAGCTGCTTATTTCTGGCAAACAAAAGAAAAATCATTTTGCGTTAAAATTCTGCTACCCAATCTAATTTTTAACAAAGGATTTCTTTTCCCAATATTGTTCGACTGCTGAACGTGATGACGGAAGCATGATTTTTGCCGCTCAAGAACAATAAGAAAAATAGCGGCGAGAGTAAGTGTTTCTTCTCAAAAATATTTCTCGGTTGCCGATTGTAAAAGAGAAAAAAAGTAGATACGCGCGTATTGTAGGTTTAATTTTTTACTTAAACATATATTTTTTTCTTCTTTTTCATAAACATAGGTCGTGATAATGACGAGTAAAGTTACTATTAAAAAATCATCACTGAAATCAGCTGAACAACAACAACAACAACAAAATGATGGATATTCTACTATTTTATTCTACGCTCCAGGGATGCATAAATTAGCCGAAGAAATTCAATCATGTAATGGCAAAAATTCTATTCGATTAGGAGATATTGAATGGCATGAATTTCCTGATAAATGGCCCAATCTTTTTATTCGCAATTCTGAACAAATCCGTAATAGTCACGTGCTTTTCCTAGCATCATTTGACAATCCATTGACTATATTCGAACAAATTTCCATTCTTTATCATCTACCAAAATATCTCTGCCGATCATTAAAAGTCCTTTTACCGTATTTTCCTACGGGTACAATGGAGCGTATTCAAATTCAAGGCGAAATTGCCACCGCTTATTCTCTTGCACAAATGCTTTCATCAATACCATTAACACGTACAGGACCATCAGAAATTGTTATTTTCGATATTCATGCACTACAAAATCAATTTTATTTTTCATCGAATGTTATTGTTCGTCTTGAATCAACTGTTGAATTGTTGTTAAACGAAATGAAAACAAAAGAAATGAAGAATGAAAAATATGCAATTGCTTTTCCGGACGATGGAGCTCATAAACGTTTTGCTTATTTATTTAATAATATCAACTATCCAATTATTATTTGTAGTAAAATTCGACAAGAAGATGATAAACGTGTTACAACAGTTAAAGAAGGTAAACATTGTCGAGATAGGAATTCACTTATGTAAGATCTATTGTTCATTTTCTAGGAAATCCAAAAGGTTACCATTGTATGATTGTCGATGATCTAGTACAGTCCGGTGGTACTCTTATTGAATGTGCTCAAGCGCTATTACAAAATGGTGCTGTTAATATATCAGCTTTTGTTGGCCATGGCATATTTCCAAATGAAAGTTGGAAAAAATTCCTACATTCAAATAATCCAAACGTTCATTTTGATACATTCTATGTAACAAATACGTATCCAAACACACAACTATTGGTGGATAAAAGTCCATTTAAAGTACTCTCAATTGCTCAAATTTTGTGTAACATTTGTTTTCAATAGTGATGCACTCAATTGAAATAGACACACCATAGAGTGCTGCGATGTTTTCCATTTCAAAAGTCAAATACCGCAGCTCTCTATCTTGTTTATCTGGAGAAAAAAACAATTCCCACACGCTCGTTTTTTTTGCGCGTATTAGGATAGCTTCAAATTAGTTTATGTAATTATTATCGGCATTATTTGACTTTTATATTTATTGAGATCAAATGCGAGAAGAAGAAAAAAAACACGACATCAATGCATAATGCTAAAGTGACTGAGACGGCTCGATTTTAGTTTTATCGAAATAATTGTATTGCTAGTTTAGTAATGCCAGACACTATTTTTCATTGTACACGAAATAAAAAGAGAAGACAAAATGACACAATTCATCAGTCTATGTTGATCCCATTATTTTGTAAATACGTTGTAACGGTACAACAGGTGATGCACTAACAGTAAGTGACGCATTGAAATCATCTAAAAATTTCGGATAATGATGTGAAGCATCGTAGCCCGCATATAATGTTGCCCATGGTTCATCTTTTTCAACAGAATCTCCAATATGTTTCAATAGACGAATACCAACAGAAAAATCAAGTTTATCCGTTGATTTCAAACGTCCACCACCTATAGCAATCAAAAAAATTAGAATAAAATAAAAAAACTGATAACATTCCACTAGAACAAACCAAGACGTTGAACAATAGTGCCGAGCTTTAAAGAATCAATAGCTTGAACAAATCCAGTTTCTGATGATATAGCTTGATACTTCATATCACTAAGTTTTAAAATCGACCCAATAGCATTGTCATCATCGCTGATTAATTGTTTTGCAACAGTTTCACAAACGCCTTGGGCAATAATCATATCATGAAATTTTCGTAAAGCAGATCCATTTTTAAATGTTTCACGAAGCATTTCTCGACCTTCATCAATTGTGTTTACTTTCTGTGTTAATACAAGAAGTCTACCACCTAGAAAATCAAAGAATTTTTCTCCTTTTCTTTCTCTCTCTCTCTGTTTCTCACTCTATTTATCTGTACCTTGTTCACACACTAGATCTTCTAAATCTTTCGAATGGCCTGGTTTATATTTCATAAGATCAATGGACTCTTCAATTTCAATGGCATTTCCAATACAATATCCAATTGGATTATTCATTTCGGTTATATAACAGCATGTTCGCATTCCAAGCATTTCCGATACTTTATATAGCCAATGAGCTAGATTTTCTGCTTGTTCAGTTGTTTTCATAAATGCTGATGAACCAAATTTAATATCAAGAACAAGTGCATCGACATCTTCAACCGATTTTTTCGATAAGATCGATGATACAATTAATGCAGTACTTGGCACAGTTGCTGTAACATCACGAATAGAATATAAATAACGATCAGCTGGATTCAATTTAGCTGATTGAGAGAAAATTCCGCAACCAACTGTTGATATTAATTCAGAAATTTGGTTATCAGTTAATTGTGTCTGATAGCCAGGCATAGATTCAAGTTTATCTAATGTACCACCAGTAATACCTAGACCTCTGCCGGACATCATCGGGACTTTTAATTGACATGCAGCTAATGCTGGTGCCAACGGAATACTGATTTTATCACCGATACCACCTGTTGAATGTTTATCAACCACTGAACCGCGAAACTGTGGCCAATGTAAACGTTCACCACTATCGCGCATGGATGTCGTCATTGAACAAATTTCTTTTTCAGTCATACCTAAATGAAAAATTTTAATTGCATCATTGAAAGAAAAAAAAGCTGAAATTCTTGTTAGAATTACCTTTAATAAAAATTGCCATAAGCATCGCACCGACATGACAATCTTGAACATCACCATTTGAAAGTCCTGCAATAAATTGCTGTATTTCATCTGTATTTAATTCTACACCATCACGTTTCTTGGCAATTAAATCAGGAATGGATAAGATATGATCACAATTTGTAAGGGTACTAGTCATTTGAATGATTCTTTGATATTATCACTTTGTGAATGAATAGCGTACGCGTTGTATGAAGGGCCTTTCAATCGTCTAGTTTATCTCTGTGAAAGAAAAGAATAAAATGAAAGATAAGCATGCAGTTACCAACGCGCACACCTTTTGTTAAACAATGTACTCTTGAGAATAAAAAAAAATAATACTAAGAGCACATCTCGTGTTTCTTCTTCCAAAAATGCTCTATATTTGACCTCATAAATTAAACGTCTTGTAAATACATGCTCGAAAAATATTCATTCCAGACGTATCGCATTGAAATGTTTGCACAAGATTAATTGGATAAAGTTAGAAACATAATATGAAGGCTTATAAGACAATAGTTTTGCTTCTATTGATTGTTAGATCGAATGAAACAAATCATCTGTTTGTCTGAAAAAAACCAATTAAAAATTGTCTATCTCTAGATTGATTCTTAACAATTGAAGCTAGCAAACAGTACAACGACTAGCTATTGATTTCATTGATAGTATAGAGTACAACAAATTTTTAATTCATATTTTTCTTTGATAGAAGATTCCTACCGGTGTTTAGAATATTTTTTGACATATTATGAGACAACAGTAATATTATCCAGTCGTAATAAACTAGATAAATAAGAGAATTCAGTCGAATGTTGAAGTAGTGAAATCATTTGTGGGAAAAAATAAAACGCTTACTTTTCATTTGCAACTCAAACGCACTTTGAACACAATCGCGCCACTGCGATACGAAGTGGGCTATTATAAATGTGGGTATTTTTGTTCGTTCTGTTTCAATGTCGAGCCCCTAAGAATACATCAACGCTTCGATCCATTGTCTATAGTAAACATAGCAAAGGAATGGTAAAAAACACTCAGATGCATTTCAACTACTTGAAGAAAAACAAGCATATCAGATGACTGATTCTGAGTGTTCGAGCGTAAATAAGCCTAAAAACTTAATATTTTCGACTGTTAATGTGAACTTTATTTGCGTTCTTGAAAAAAATATAGTCACATTGAATTCCTGTATGTGCCATCACTAAGAAGAATATGTAAATATTGACTTAACATTTTATCGTGTAAATGTTTTATTCATAAAATGCCTTGCCAATCAGATAAGATCCATGCATGGCATCTGAAATTCGAGAATGACACTCTTTTCACTTAGAGACAATCATACGGTTTCTCTCTTTGAATAAAGAACGTTATTTTTTTGTTTTGTTTTTTAAAACATTACGACTGTGCTAGAAGTATTATTTTAATTGAAAATTTATCGTAGTCACTTCTGTGTTCGATCATTGATAAATCTCACTCAAGAAATATAATCTCGTTTTGATATGAATGAAACGTTCTCAGTTGCCTGTATGTTTGCACACTATTTCGAAATGCTCTTTTTATGCTAAACATCCATCAAATCTACGTTGAGAAATTTATGATACACACATTTTTTTTTCTGCGATCAAAGATCGTTTACTTCGAGTTGTAGGCTAACACTAGCGGAGAACGTATATTGTTAGACAGCTTTCAAAATAAGAATAGAGGGTAAAAAGCAAAGTTATATAAAGCATTTTTTTAAGGTAATATCAAAATGGACATGTAGTCACCATTTTGTTTTGTGAAACAGTTTCGCAAGACGATGCCTTGATGACGATTAAGAAATTGATGAAAGCGTTCCACGAAAAATAAATGGTTCCTGTTCTACGATACTCATATTTGACAGAAATGTTTGTTGAATCATAATTTTCATAAGAAATAATGAGGTAGTATGGTGAATATGAGACGGTAAATTTTTGAAGTTTTAGGAAAAATAACATAAACGGTTTTCGCTTTCAAAATCAAAATCTCAAATCATCGGCAAACATTCTCGTATAGGTTATATTTATTTATCGCAGTCCTTTAACATATGAATTAGTTGCTTTTCATCATGTTTGTTCACATTGAGTTGACCCGGATTGTACCAATAAATTCAAATGATGATGATACTGCTCTTTATGGAAATCGATCTCTATTGAAATGTCAATATCATGCGTGCCTATTTGATTCTCGTGATGGCGCATTGAAAGTTACACCAAATTTTAGTTATGAATTTAAATCAGATTAGAAAAAATGTTTAAATCTCAAAAAAATTAATTTTGAAATTTTTGCTGAACAATTTATTTTTGTTAATCCAATCGAGACGAAAGAGATATCATCTATCAATATCCTTTTTTTTCTGATTGATTAAATGATACTTTGACATTTCCTCCTAATGAATATCGTCATTCCGAAAGTCAATGTCATTTAATTAATTCGAATTGGAAAACCGATGCAGAAAATTACCAAGAAGGATATCATATTCAAAGTATACATCCATTACTTAATAAAAAAAACTATTCAATCAAAATAATGTTCAGTTACTAACAAGAATAATATATATTCAATTCATTATGCCCCTTCACGTAATCATGAAAGTAGTTAAGAGAAATTTCTTTGGGTTTTTATTTATTCTAATTTAGCTATTAATTTATATGAACGAGGTCATAGTATTGAACATATTCTTCCGATAGGTAGAGATCGAACAATATTATTTTGCGATTTTGTTTTCGTACGAAATGGTATTCAGTTTTTTCAACGTAGAATTAGAAATGAAGTAAAACGTACGAATTTACAATTGGAATAAAATATGAACTTGAATAGAACTAAATACATAGTTACACTTTTTTTGAAAGATTAATAAAAAAAGAATAATTGAAAATACTCTTTTCTTGCAGTTCTAAATTTAATTGAAGGATGATTGTTCAATAAACTCTTCAGAAATAATACAACACTTGTATGACGTTTCAGAACAAGATAAACTACTGCACATAAAATAATTTTCCTTATGCTGCATAGTTTTGATCATTTTATTTACTCGCATATATGGCACATCAAACTGTTCTTGATGTTCTCTCTCTGCCTGCTCCTCAGATAATCACGAGAGTTATGGAAGTCACTCGCGTTCTTATTTGAAACGACTGTCAATCTTGCACTGAACCAAGACGAATCACGTCATACTAAAGCTTGATGCCACCAAACTATTATTAGACTATTTTTGAAAAATGACAGAAGAGAACACTTGCTAAATTGTGAATGATGAGATGTTTTCGATTGCTAAATTTACATCTTTGAATTTGAACGCATTGTTTTTAATACTGAAACTGAAGTTGTTGAAAGAGAGTTGAAGACCATACGTTCGGTTTTTGTGATAGATTATTTCGTTAATATTATCTACTGAATATAAGGACTTCAATTTTCGTTCAGTTTCTTTAACACTACATGGTTTATTTAGCAAATTATTTGTTCAAATAAAAATGTTTTATTTTTATCAAATTCAACGCTAATGTATTGAAGACATAATCGAAAAATATCTATGAAAAAATTGTTCACAAAAATTGAATCTTTGATTTTCAAGTACTCGACTTTAACTTTCACTGTGCTCTATCTTTTGATATTGCTGTTTATCAATAGAATTTATCATGAGGTTACTTTAATATAATATATTTAATTCATTTTTGAATGCTGAACAATGAAGAAATAATTGATAACGATTTTGTTCATTCTAACGACATATAACTATGTAGTTTGTTTCTACTGTAATTAAAGCTTCTTCAGAAAGAAAAAATACGAATTTAAATCGATAATAGACTATGATTCGCTCCGAACAGTATTCGATACTATTATTAAAGTGATTTATATATGGAATATAAATATATCGGTATTTCTAGAGTTAAGATGGATCTTGATTATCATTGATTCTTCTATTCGAAATTGTTGATTGGCTATGAAGATATATTCAACTAGTTAGATGTCATGTAGATTCTACACTGTAGAATCTTAGATGAGACATTGATTTGTTTATGACATTTAAAAAATTAAATTCATTCGCCGTAAGAAACCAAACTTTTATTGATTCTTGATACCTAATCAAAAATACCAAATAAAAGTTATGAAGATCGATATTTCATTTTGAAATTCGTAACATTATTATTGCTAGATAAAAATACAATGTGCTCTTGCTAAAATCAAACTTAATCTAAAATTGATTACTATCAAACCACAATTGTAACATAAACATACATATATTTATATATATATATATATATATGGGTGTGTGGGTGTTGATGTTTTGGACACCCACACCCAGCCTCAAATACCTATGGAAAGTTTTGTTTTTCTTGATTAAGAGGATTGATTTTGCATCGTTCTCCGGGAATTCAGTATAGGAATATGTTTAATATAGAGCTGCTTCAGAGTTGAACTCGGTTGCAAGTGAAAAACAGATTTCTGTTAGATTGGGTGTGGGTGTGTAGGTGTGAATGAATAAAAGATGAGCATTCGGACTCCCATCCGCACCCACACCCACACCCACAACCACCTCAAGAAGCAAATATAAAAATGATTAATTCGAACGGTGAAAAACATGGAACCATCACGGCTCGTATTGATGATAAAGATAATTTTGAAGTAACAAAATTGCGAGTCGATGTTGTTACGGATGGACGACATGCCGCGGTAGAATTTACGCAAGATTGGTAATTAGATGCGGGTCGAAGAGATTTGACTATCAATACACTGTTTCTGGATTTCGAAGGAATTGTATATGATTATTTCGATGGGATTGATGATCTTCAACATCGTCGGATTCGTTTTGTTGGTGATCCTGTTGAACGCATTCGTGAAGATTATCTTCGTATTCTGAGATATTTCCGGTGAATTTGTTTTTCTATAGTTGAATAATAATTTTCGGTTATTTTTGAAAAGATTTTTTGGTTGTCTTGCCGATGGTAATGCTGTGCATGATGAAGAAACATTGAAAGCAATTAGAGACAATGCTGGTGGTTTACAAAGTATAAAGAAAATGCATTTTGATGAGAGAATTCTTTTTTTTTGTTTTAAATATTTCTGGTGAACGTCTTTGGGTGGAACTAAAACGGATTGCTGAAGGGCGCAATGCAGGACATGTATTGAAAGTAATGCTTGAACAGAAGATTGGTCCATATCTTAGTAAGTGAACGCACTTTCGTGTTTTCAATAATTTTGGTTATTTTTATATAGATATTCCATCGAAGGTAGATTTGAATCAAATAGAAGATCATTGGAGAAAATATCATCAAGCTAAATCAGAAGCTCTAACTATTCTAACAAAACCTTTTCGTGATGTGAATGAAGCTAAGTGATTCAATAAGAAAAATTCTCTTGTGAAATTCTTGAATTCAGTTATCAAAATTTGAACAACGTATGAAATATTCCAATGAATTTCGACGTTTATCTCAATTATTAGTCACCTATCGTGATGCAATATCAACACTTGATTCATCATCCGTCGATCCATTGAAACCGTATAAAGATTTACTGATCGATTTGTATTTATTTGATCCAAATATAAAAGAAAAAATGATTGAATTACTTAAATATCAATATTATCTCAATGAACTTCAACAATTCATAGATTGGCCAATACCCAATTTTCCGATATCGGCAGGAATGCTTGCCTTAAAAGGTGTTAAACAAGGACCGAACTATAAAGTTATTCTAAATGAACTTCGACAAGCATGGAAAAATTCATATTTCAAAGCGACTGAAAGCCAATTACTCGATGAAATCTTACCCACAGTATTAAACAATTTAAGTACAATAGATCCTTCAACGATCACTGAACAGAAAACAATTGTTAATCTACCTGCATTTGATCTTCCGAAAAGGCGTAAACATAAGGATGTACCTTCAGATCAGTCTAAAAGAACTGCTAGTACTTCCTGAAAAGGAAGATTATTTTTTTTTGTTGTTTTTGTTATAAATCATAAAATTGATAAAAAGTACTTGACTATTTAATGAAAAAGAATTGTTGGGATATTGAAGGGTAACAAAATTAGTTCAGATCTTATAAGAGTTCACTTCATCATGCCGACTAATAATTATGGTTTACTACTCTCAATTGCAAAACCAACTACTATTAAAATCTTTTTATTTAGTAATCTCAATGGTTAAAAAAAGTAATCTTCCGTATGCACTGATGTTTTTTCGATAATTAATTATTTCACTTTAGCACAATTGAGTCGTGTTGCAGTATTCCTTTTCAAGTTTTATGTTACGATTCTTAATTTATCGTAGTTGACTATCAATATATCATTAGACGACGTAGATGAGTTTCGAAATAAGATAAGAATATTCAACAACGGAATATAGTTGATTATCATCAGGATTCAATTTTTCTGACATCTGTGATTGCGGTTCAAAATTCATAACACCCAATTTTTTAAGTACAGGAAAAAACGGAATAATTTGACGGGAAAATTTATGTTTGCATGGAACAACATCACATACCAATAAGTTTGTAAAATGACTAGTCACTTTCATCCTTTCCTCTCTCCAGAGTAGACGCACGAGTGCTTGCTTGCATTGTTCTCTGACATCATCACCATCCTCCTCTTCATCTTGTTGAATGAGGAGAGGAACTAACGATAACTATCTTTACAATAAGAAAGGTTCATCATCATCTAATCTGAAGCGAAGTAATATATCTATTAACGAAATGCCAAAAAGTAATCAGCAAGCAACTAATGGGTGGGCCATAAAGAATTACACTATTTTGTTTTCGCTATAACTTAGTCAGTTTTGATGCTATTGGCCAAAACTTTTTTCCAAAAGATTCGCCATGGAATTCTCTACAAAACCATGTGTAAAAGATTTTTGTAAACTATCAAACAGCTAAATTCTAAAACGAAGAAAACATGTCTCGAAAATGTCAACTTTCAAGCTCAAAATCCGTTTTTTCTCAAATTTGCTTTTTATGGGGGAAGCTACCAAGGAACTAAGACGACCGTCTTAAAGAGGGTTAAATTCTAGACAAGATTCATGTCTTTGAAACTTTTCTTGATTAAAAAAATGTGTAAAAATTCAGGATAAATGTTTTTACTTTTGCGGAAAACTCAACTTTCATTTCATGATTTCCTGCTTGCACGCAAACGAATCCCATTCAATAAAAAAAACGTTCTTTTCTTACGAGTTTTTTTTTTCTTTAAAAGCCAACATACTAGGCTATGCCCCTGCACACTGGTTCGAGTCATTTAAAGTTTTGCTAGCGGTTGATTTTCTTGACAATTCCAATTCAGACTTTTCGAACGAGTTTTCGGAAAATATCGATTTAATAGGTGATGGTCACTTTGAAAGAAAATCTTTTCAAGGATATCGGAAAAAGCGTATTTGAAAATGCCAGAAAACGTTTCTCGCGCAATTTAAGCTTGCGATTAAATTGTCTAAACGTACTCCAAATATTAATGCATCTTGAGCTTGAAAGTTGAACATTTTCGAAACGTGTTCTCTTCGTTTTAGAACTTAGCTGTTTCGTAGCTTACAAAAATATTTTACATATGATTTTGTAGAGAATTCCATGGCGAATCTTTTGGAAGAAAGCTTTGGCCAATAGCATCAACATTGACTGAGTTATGGCGAAAACAAAATGGTGTAATTCTTTATGGCCCACCCGTTAGTAGTGCTTTTGAAGCATCAGGCACCTATAATCTTGAAGAAATGAACGCTTTCATTCGTCAAAATCCTAATGCCGCGTTTGGTGTTCATGAACATCTTACTCTCCATACTCATCCTCGCCGTATAAATGCTCCAGCTCAATCATCAACTCCTCAAGCGCCTAACCGCCTGCCGGAGATGTCTTTTGACATCTACAGGGTCCCACTTCTACTTGCGTAGAGGTTGGGAGGCGCCCCTGGGCTGCCGGTAGCCAAACCGTCTGTCTCTCAGGCTAGCTACCTGTTA